AAATCAGGAAGTTTGGTACCAAATGGATGGCTGCCCGGCACATAGTACGCTGGCTGTTCGGGAATATTTAGACAGTAGTTTTAACGGAAACGTTGTTGGCCTAAAGCATACAGTAAATTGGCAAGCAAGGTCTCCTGATATTTCGACAAATGATTTCTTTCTCTGGGGCCATTTAAAAAACAGGATATACAAGGATAAAATATACCCAAATCTAGACGAGTTAAAAAATGTTATTTCTGCCGAATGCAATAGAATTTCAGTTTACCAAATAGTGAATGTAAGAAGATAATTTTATGATCGCCTGAGTCATAAAGTTCTAACAATTTAATAGTACCTAAATTAATAAGTTATTGAATATTGTAATAATACTATAATTAACCTTGTAATTGATTACTTTATTTTACTTTAATTCATATTAATTTGTATTTATAAATACATCTTTAAGATTTCCGATGTAGGAATGAGTTTTCAATAATAATAAAGCACTATACATATGCACTATATAGGTAAATTTCTGAAATGACAACTTCATTTGACAGTTATATTTTTCCTTGACTGATGCTCATAAGTAAATACAGGGCCATAAGAAAGGAGAAATATTTAAAAAGAAATCGGCGATAACTCGTAAACGAGCTAATCAAAAATATCTAAAGTTATTCTTTGAATGTGGGTTTTATAGAAAAGTGCTTCGTTTATCCGCTAGAGGACACCAAAGTTTAAAAAATAAACACATTTTTAAGATATTTTTAGAACTGTTGGTTAGGGAACCTATGTTTCGGAAAGCGGTTTAACATTCTATTTTGATAAAAATTAAGAAAAAGTACGGGACCATGACCAAAGTGAAAACTACCCCCACCCGACTGAGTTTTTTCGTAAAATAGCGCTTCTAGTCTTTACTACAATTTTCTCTTGTCATGCATACTTTTTGAGAAAAAAAAAACTATTTAAAATATCTAAATACAGCTATTCAAGAACACTAGTGTTTTTTTTCAACAGATATGTCTATAAAATCCGTTGACGTTCTGTTAAAATGACATTATATCAAGTTAAACTTCAATATTAACAATTACTACCCTAAGATATTTTAAATAGTTTTTAGCCGATCATACCGACAGGTATGGTAGGCTAATAAGATCGACAAAAAATTATTTTTTAATTTCGTTCAAAATGAGTTATTTGTGTCATAAATGACCTAAATACAAAATATTTTCGTGGTGTCTGTCTGTCTGTCCGTCTGTAACACGATCACTCAAAACTGCTAAACCGATTTTAACCAAATTTGGCACAAAAAGAATGTGGCACCGAGAATCTGCCCATTAGTTTTTGGTGTGGGTGGGGGTTGGTAAGGGGGGTATGGGAGGGGGTTAAAAATTTAAAAAAATCGTAACTCCAAAATTACAGTAGTTAGCGAAACGCGGTTTTCAATTTAAGATTAGGAATAATATTTGTAATAACATCAAAATCAGTCAAAATCGCAGTTTTTGAGATAAAAAAAATATCAATTATGGGCGGCTAATTGATATTAGCCTTTCGGCGCCAATTAATTTCTTTGTTCTTTGCGAATGTGTAAAAAGCCAATTATTTTTCAGTTTTAATTCATTTTAGTGTCGTTTCTAGAGCATAGCATAATAAACCTTTTTAGTCTCGAACATCAAACAAATCGCGTGAAATTTTAGCTCGTCTACTCTAGCACGACATAGCACTATTCTAGTCAAACAAACGCTGTGATATAACTCGATTTGGTCCTTCCATCCCCTATTCTTCCCACTCTTAGGGACGTAGAAAAATATCGATATTACTTTCAACGATAAATTAATGAAAATAAATATCGGGTAATAATTTACATGCGATGATTGGTAAAATCTAAAAAAATCTAGTTTGTTACAAAGTTTTTGATGAACATTGTACAGGGTGAGTCAACGATAGAGTATCCATTATTTCATTTATTTCAAGGTTTACAAAAAAATGTTTAATATAAAAGTTATAGGGATGGTTAAGATACACATTTTAAAATTATTATAGAGTATACAAGGTGCTTCAAAACAGTGTGGCGGCTATAACATATGTTTTTTTAAATGCAACACCCTATTTTTTATTTTATTTTTAGATTCTGCGTAAAATTCCATAACTTTTTTATATATAATGTTATATACCTAAAATTAATACTTTTTGTAATATTTCAATTTATTTAAACAAATGTTAAATTGCAGTGTGGTAAAAAATTGTCAGTGGTGCCATTGTTTCTGAAGTTGCAGTACCAAAATTTGGTAGGAGAGTTTTATAGAGCTGAAAAAAAAATATATGTAATATTTTAGTTAAATGATACAGGGTGTTTAAAATATATTTATGAATTTCAACTATTTAAAATTAAAAAATCTCAAATTACCCCCCTATATAATATCATTTTTTCTGGTAGATTTGACAACACTCTTCAACTTTTATTAAGTATGTCATATCCCTATTTTGATAGTTTGCAATTTATTCCCATTTTTCTATTTTTACCCATATTTTTAATACAATTACCCTATAAAATCATAGTTGCCATGACAAAACAAAACTATTTATTACTTACCTTTAACAAGTAGCTTCATAATTAGTTACAATTGCTGGTATTAGTTAAAATTAATTATGATGATTAATTATGATGTTATAGCGCAATTGTATTAAAAATATGGGTAAAAAAAGAAAAATGGAATAAATGCAAACTAATAAAAAATAGGTAAATGATATTCTAAATAAAAATTGAAGAGTTTGGTAAAATCTCTCAGAAAAAATGATAATATATAAGTGTACCATTTAAAAAAATTGAAATTCCTTAATTTTAAGTAGTTGAAATTCCTAAATATATTTTGAACACCCTGTAATATCTAACTAAAATATCTTTACATAGGTCTTTTCTATATCTTTATAAAATACTCCTACCAAATTTTAGTTGTCCAACTTCAGAATCAATGCCAGCATTGACAATTTTAACCCTGCAATCTAACATTTGTGTAAACGCGAATTTAAATATAACAAAAACTATTAATTTAGGTATATAACATTATACATAAAAAAATTATGGAATTTTACGCAGAATCTAAAATAAAATAAAAAATAGGGTGTTACGTTTAAAAAAACATATGTTATATTCGCCACACTTTTTTGAAGCACCCTGTATACTGTATAATAATTTTAAAATGTGTATCTTTACCATCTCTATAACTTTTATATTTAATATTTTTTTGTAAACCTCGAAACAAATGAGATAATGGACTTCACTCTATCGTTGACTCACCCTGTACAGGGTGGTTAATTAATACCGGAACCGATAATGAGAGAGTTAATGGAAAAATATTTAAGGTAAATCAAGTTCCAGTAGGTTTTCGTCCGGTTCCGAAAAACCAGAGACGTCTAAATAAAGGCAAATCCAATTGACACCGTTTGTTTACAATCATACATACATTAACACTTTTATATAAGTTAAAAAAAGATGGTGCATAAATATGACAACGCTGTTGGGTTTGGCAAGCAGCGTGCCGTTTTTTATCAACAATCGTACAATGTAATTTTAACCTAATTTTTTTATTTATAATATACAGGGTGTTTCAAAAAACATGTGCCATTCTTGTGGGGAGATTCCTCTAGTAAAATTAAGATTTATTTTTTTATCAACAAAGGTCTGATTCTGCTTTGTTTCGTAGCTACAGGGCGTTAAAGTCTTAATAATCTTTCGATTTATTATAATTTTCTTCCAAATACTTTTAGCGATTCGAATGAAACTTTGAGGGTAAAAGTTACTATAAGTGCTACATATTATAATGTTAAAAAAGTGTCGATAAATTCATGAGGGATGTGCATATGGGTTATCACAGGAATATTTTTCAAAAAAAAAAGAATGTGCGCCAATGACTTTTTTTGATATCAAAATTGTGTAGGCAGTTTAATGTCAATTAAAAGTTATCTTTTGATATTTAGTCGAATTCGGCCTCCTTGATGAGATAAACGCAATTTTATTAATCTCAATCAAATTAAAATAAAAATAAAATTAATAAATTATATATTTTACCTAATTTATTATTAAATATTAGTACTACTAGTTATTATTACTATTAGTCCAACCTACAGCAATTTTAAATAAAAAAATAATGAAATTTAAGATCACAAAAAACCTATTTTTAAAAAGTTTTAACATCCTATAACTCTAAAACTATGCATTTCGATACCCATGTTTATAGAAACTTTTTTTTCATATTTTTTGATAAGTAACCAATGAGTACTTATTTAAAACTTTCTTATGTTAATGATATTAAAATTTTTTAAAGGTTGCTATTAGATTTGGATCAAGGCAAATTAATAAAATTGCGTTTATCTCATCAAGGAGGCTGAAATCGACAAAATATCAAGGGCCAACTTTAACAGGAGAAAAAAATCAGTGGCGTAGATGTTTTTTTTTTAAATATTGCAGTGATAACCCATATGCACGTCCCTGGTGAACCTGTCGACACTTTTTTAGCTTTAAAATATGTAGCACTTATAGCAACTTTTACCCTCAAAATTTCATTAGAAACGCTAAAAGTACTTGGAAGAAAATTATAATAAATCGAAAAAATATCACCCTGTAGCTACGAAACAGAGCAAAATCGGACCTATTTTGATATGAAAAATAAATCTTATTTTTACGTGAGGAATCTACGGACGAGAGATGGCACATGTTTTTTGAAACACCCTGTATACACAAAGAAAAATTTATGACCGAGAACTCTTCGGATGATCATCTAATCATTGAAATCCTCGAGGATCAATAGAGGAATGAAAACATCCGATTATTCCAAACAGTAAAAAATATCGAAACAATATAATATCGCTATTTTTCTTATATGCACATCCCTACTCAACTCTCTTAAACCCTTTCCCCTCCGTTGCGCAACCGCGTCATACCAGCTCCTCCTCCTCCTCCCATACCCCCACATTTCATCCCCTCAGACCTCCAGGTCTCTCCCGCTCGTCAGTCTCCCGACCGAGGTGAGAGCGCGTGCGAGTGCCGGGCGCCATGTCCTCCTCCGCGGGGACCGAGTTCCCCCAGGTGATCGACCTGAACGTTGGCGGAGTGGTATACACCACCTCGCTCAAGACGCTCCTCAGCAAGCAAGGATCCACGTTGCACGCCATGTTCAGCGGCAAAGAGACGTTGGAGGTTGATGCCAAAGGGAGGTATTTCTTGGACAGGGATGGAGTCTTGTTTAGGTACGTAACATGGTTCGATAATGTGTAAAGATAATATTGAATGTTATACATTTTCTTAATTAAAAAAAGATAATAAAGAAATGTCAATCGTATTGCGTTAGGTTATGAATTTCAACAATAAACATAGAATGTAAAAAATGTCAAGTCTCGCAACACAATTTCCAAATAAACCAAGTCAGTTTGTTTTATTTAGTTAGGTTGACCTATTTAACAACTTTGTTATAGATTCTGAGTATCAGTATTAGACATCTTTATTTCTGTAATAATTATAATGACTTGATAACTGTACGGTATAATATTGTATTAACTAAAATACTTCATACTTAAGTGCACAGTTTATATTTTACTTAATAATCGAAATGTTAGATATTCTTTTATAATCATGGTGCCGTGCAATTGTCAAGTTACTATAATTATTACGGAAATAAAGATGTCTAAGATTCATACTAACTAATTTATAATACAATTGTTAACACCAACTGATTTTATATGAGGTCTTATAACTTTTTGTAGTGAAAGCATTAATTACATTTTATATTTTTGAGAGGATCTCATTTCATTTTGTAGGTCATCCTATTTTTTCTTGGGTAATATATCTTTCAAATAATATTACAGGAATTTGACTAGCGATTATTCATAAACTTGGATTGAATTATTGTTGCTACATCAATATGAAAATAAAATTAGGCAATATCAAATTGAATAATTCTAGTTTTCTTACTTTTTGTCGACTAAAAAATCAGTTACCGGTAGCCTAAAAAAGCTACCTAAAATTCAAAATTTGAAGTTTGTGAAACTTCTAGAAGTACCTTAGAATTTTGGTGATGGTGAGTGAGTCACTGTCGAGGTTAAAGCAGTTTGAGTAGCACTAATTCATAAACCTTCAATTATTGTTGTTACATTCATATAGAAACAAAATCAGATAAGGTCAAATCGATTAATTCTAGTTTTCTACCTTTTTCTCGACTTGAAAGTCAGTTACCGGTAGCGGCTACACAGCTAACTTTTAATCTATAAGGATATTTCGAGATTTTTCCTTTTTTTCCTTCATTTATAAGCTTAAAGCTACCTAAAATTCAAAATTTGAAGTTTGTGACACATCTAGAAGTACCTTAGAATGTACCTTTTAATAGTATAGTGAGTATTCTAGTAAAGTAAATCTCTTGTACACTTCGCACTAAAAGAGGTTCTAATAAAACAATATTTGACTGCTATGTCTGCTAGTAAACATTTTTAAGTATCACAACACTTTTAAACCAAGAACTCGTAATACAAAACTAAAGTATTAAAACGAATGACAATAAGGAAATCAGGAAATAAATAAATAAATGAGGCAATTTGACATTTTTTATAGCAGAGTTACAACATGAATTCCTTGTGGGAAATTTAAATTCCAGTTAGTCAGCCCGGCGCCAAATACGCCCATAGTTGGCGACAATGAATTTGAAAATCGCTCCCTCGATTACGTAACTAAAAGTTAATTGATGTCAAATATATATTTTTAGTATAGCTAGCTATAGTATGTCCTCCTCATTAGTAAAAATTAATATTCTGGCTTTATCCACAAAACAAAGTTAGAGGCTGTCAAAAGTTCCGTGACTTGGTGATTCTCAGATATCAATAATATTACGCAATAAAAATAAAGCAACAAAGAAATGTAAATCCTGTTACGCTAGATTATGAATTGCAACAATACATATCTCATCAAAAACATAGAATTTAAAAAATGTTTCGCAACGCCATTCTTCCACTACAAAAAGTTGTGAGATCTTATGTGAATCCAATCAGATTATTTTATTGTTTACTTTCTATGAAAGCACCTATTCAAGAATTTTGTTGTAAATTGTTACTATCAATATTAGACATCTTTAATTTTGTAATAACTATAATGGCTTGGCAATTGCACGGTTTGATATTTTAGCAAGTAAAAAGCTTTATTAGTGCATTGTTTAGATTTACTTAGTATAAACGAAATGATAGATTATTCTTTTATAATTATGGTGCCGTGCAATTGCCAAGTAAACTAACAATTTATAACAAAATAGTTGAATATGTGCTTTTATAGAAACTAAATAAAATAAATTGACTTGGTTTTACATGAGATCTCACAACTTTTTGTAGTAGAGAAATTGCGACTTAGCATTTTTTTTATAATCTATGTTTGCGATGGCGCCTAATTTTTTTTTGTAGTTCATCATCCTCCGAGTAATATATCTTTCAAAATAATATTAAAGAAGTTCGACTATCGATAATTCATAAACTTTGCATTGTTGTTACATTGATTTAAAAATAAAACGACATTATATCAAATTGATTAAAGCTTGATTTTCATGCATCCGTTGTCCGACGATACGTTGATACGATATTAATTTCATTGGTTGTATTTAAAGGCTTCGATTGGTAATTCCATTATAAGCTATTTTAGACAAAAAGTTTTCAGATGAAAGTTGTAGATAATCACATCCTTAATGAGATTATATCCTCCGTTTTTTTCTAAAGCTTGTCATTTTTGAGATATGACACAAACATATGTTTTTTTAAATGGAAACCATAGTTGGCCATGACTTCAAAAAAAGCGCCATTTTTCAAGCTTTTCAACGATATAAGCTGCAATATGTTTTTTCGAAAAATTACTGAGTTATAGCCAATTTTTATAATTTTTAAACAATTTCACTTAGTTAGCCATGGAAACAAGTTCAATCATTTTTGCTCTCAGACATGTAAAGCTGTCACATCCAAACTTTGTAAATTAAAATAAACAAAAATTGTAAATATGAATTTTTCAAATGAAGAAAAGCGTGTAGAATTTATTGGTTCAACTTTTCTTGGCCACACATTTTTGAGGATACGTTCATCGGTGAAAGTTACGTTCTTTAGAGAACGGTTTTTAAGACATATGTTAGAAAAGCTAAATTTATTTATAGCCAATTCTTAGTGTTGAGTTGCATCTTTTAAAAGTGAATTACTACCTAGTCTCACAGAAGGACCGGTCGACTTAATTAAACTTCTCTCGTACCGCCACAACGATTGTCTCTCTTAATTCATAAGTTTTTTGTAAACCTTATTGTTAACCATACTCCATACAAAAATCTAAAATTGATAAGTCAGGTGATCGAGGAGTCCCATGCAATTGGTCCACCTCTTCCTATCCCTGCATTATTATGATATAAATAATTTTTAACATTTCTTTCATTATGGGGGGGGAGAGGTATAATTAAAGTCATGTTGAAACCACTCTATTGATGCACGAGTATCTACATGCTCTTCTTAACTTGAAAAATTCATATTTACAATGTTTGTTTATTTTAATTTATAAAGTTTGGATGTGACAGCTTCACATTTCTGAGAGCAACGGCGATTGAACTTGTTTCCATGGCTAACTAAGTGAAATTGTTTAAAAATTATAAGAATTGGCTATAACTCAGTAATTTTTCGAAAAAAAAGATATTATAGCTTATATCGCTGAAAAGCTTGAAAAATGGCGCTTTTTATGAAGTCATGGCCAACTATGCTTTCCATTTAAAAAAACATAAGTTTGTGTTATATGTCAAAAATGACAGGCTTTAGAAAAAAACACGCCTCATTAAGAACACAGTCTCATTAAGGATGTGATTATCTACAAATTTTATCTGAAAACTTTTTGTCTAAAATAGATTATAATGGAATTAGGGACAATTTTTAAAATAGCCGAAATTTGTTTTTTTCGAAATATCTAGTAAGCCATGAACTTTTTCAAAAATCTGAAAGGCGCATATTTATGACCCCACAAAACTGCAATTCTTTCCCCATTTAACCGACTCTCTATCTCCAGTAGTTTCCGAGATACCCATAGAGAACATCGTAGGAAACTCACCCTGTATAAGTAGGTATATAAGCATTTTTTACATTTTATGTTTTTGGGAGGATCTCATTTCATTTTGTAGGTTATCCTATTTTTTCTTGGATAATATATCTTTCAAAATAATACTACAGGAATTTGACTAACGATAATTCATAAACTTGGATTGAATTATTGTTGCTACATCAATATGTAAATAAAATCAGACAATGTCAAACTGAATAATTCTAGTTTTCTTACTTTTTGTGGATTAAAAAATCAGTTACCGGTAGCGGCTAGACACCTAACTTTGAATGCATAAAAATATTTTGACATTTTTCATTTTTCTTTCTGTTAAATAAAGCTACTTAAAATTCAATACTTGAAGTATGTGAATCTTCTAGAAACCTTAGAATTTTGGTGACGGTGAGCGAGTCACTGTCGAGGTTAAAGCAGTTTGAGTAGCACTAATTCATAAACCTTCAATTATTGTTGTTACATTCATATAGAAACAAAATCAAATAAGATCAAATCAATTAATTCTAGTTTTCTACCTTTTTCTCGACTGGAAAGTCAGTTACCGGTAGCGGCTACACAGCTAACTTTTAATCTATAAGGATATTTCGAGATTTTTCCTTTTTTCCTTCATTTATAAGCTTAAAGCTACCTAAAATTCAAAATTTGAAGTTTGTGACACATCTAGAAGTACCTTAGAATGTTGATGATGTATCAGTGAGTCTTTTAATAATATAGTGAGTATTCTAGTAAAGTAAATCTTGTACACTTCGCACTAAAAGAGGTTCTAATAAAACAATATTTGACTGCTATGTCTGCTAGTAAACATTTTCAAGCTTAAAGTATCACAACACTTTTAAACCAAGAACTCGTAATACAAAACTAAAGTGTTAAAACGAATGACAATAAGGAAATCAGGAAATAAATAAATAAATGAGGCAATTTGACATTTTTTATAGCAGAGTTACAACATGAATTTCTTGTGGGAAATTTAAATTCCAGTTAGTCAGCCCGGCGCCAAATATGCCCATAGTTGACGACAATGAATTTGAAAATCGCTCCCTCGATTACGTAACTAAAAGTTAATTGATATCAAATATATATTTTTAGTATAGCTAGCTATAGTATGTCCTCCTCATTAGTAAAAATTAATATTCTAGATTTATCC